TCGGTAGAAAAGACAGGAATACTGAGCAAGAAAAATATTTTGTAACAATAAATCAGAGTTTGATGAGCACAATAACGAGCTCTTAAACACAGGGTTCGTACACACGCTTACAATGGACTTTAAGCACTAATTGTTTGCTTTAAGGACTTCATTTACCAATTTATCTCATTTATCAAACGTACAAAAAATAAAAAAGGTACACAGATAAACAAAAATAAACCAAACTTTAACCATTGAAAAGATATATCGCCCATTATTTTCTTCCATTAATATATGAATGAGTTGAAGAATAAAAGCTGTATCATATACTTAATATTTATATGAGCAATATCACACTCATAGCCATGGGAAATGTCTCTATATCAGACTTTAATTTTGTGTGAAAAGATCTTTACTCGATAAAATTAAACACTGATTTCACATATATTATTTTAAAAAGGCTAACTCAAGCACTTGAAGCTCCTGGTCGAACCCTGTAAACAGTGTGTGTGTCCAGTCTGACCTTCACAGCGAGCTCCAGCTTCTCAAAAGCGCCTCTGTAACAGATCTGGAGGAACGATTCGATCACTTTGGGTGGAACCACCTTGAGCAGAAAGTAGAGTTTATTAAAGGAGTAGTTCACTTTTAAGAAAAAACCTTTGCTGATAATTTACTCACCCCCGTGTCATCCAAGATGTCCATGTCTTTCTTTCTTCAGTCGAAAAGAAATTAAGGTTTTTGATGAAAACATTCCAGGATTTTCTCCATATAATGGACTTCAATGGGAACCAAACGGTTCAAAGTCCAAAAGACAGTTTCAGTGCAAACTGTTCAAAGGGCTTTAAACGATTCCAGACGATGAATAAGGGTCTTATCAAGCGAAACGATCAATCATTTTTTTTTAAAAATAACAAAGTTTAAGTTTTATAAGCACGCATTGCTCTGTTCTGTGGTGGACGTTCGTGACTCTCCTGTTCGAACTCGTTCAACAAAATGAACAAATCTTTTTCCGAATCAATTAGCTCATTTCTTTCGCCGAATGAACCAAATGACTCGGAAAAAGATTTGTTCATTTTGATGAACGAGTTTGAAAAGGAGTGCGTTACAGAACAGAGCAAGGCGAACGTTTGAGCTTATAAAACTTAAACTTTGTTATTTATTTATAAAACGAGCGATCGGTTCGCTTGATAAGATCCTTATTCATCGCCTGGAATCCTTTAAAAGCCTTGAACCGTTTGGTCCCCATTGAAGTCCATTATATGGAGAAAAATCCTGGAATGTTTTCATCAAAAACCTTCATTTCTTTTCGACTGAAGAAAGAAAGACATGGACATCTTGGATGACATGGGGGCGAGTAAATTATCAGCAAAAGTTTTTTCAAAAGTGAACTACTCCTTCAAAGACGGTTCATTAAAAGTCTGGGTCTCCATCAGGTGCGTTCACTCACCCCGGCGATCTCGATGATGATTTGCTCAGTAATTTCCCGGTCAGCGTTGAGTCTCGCTGCGCTCTGGAGAAACGTGATGGCTTTCCTGAGATCTCCATCTGACACCTTCACCAGAGCATCGATTCCCTTCAACACACACACTTAAATATTAACTCCTTAAAAAGACAACAGACACACACTTCTGTAATGCACAGACTGCTTGATTTACCTCTTTGCTGTACTTGAGGTTCTCCTTCCCGCAGATCTCCAGCAGTCGCTCCTGCTGAATGTCATTGGCCAGCGGTTTGAAGCGGAACTTGGAGCATCTGGAGGTCAACGGCTCGATGATCCTGCGGAAACAAGCGAGAGTTAGCATACGAAGCTTGCGGCGGGTTCGTGTGTTCGCGTCGCTCACACTGACCGGCTGACGTAGTTGCAGATGAGACAGAACCGCGTGGTTCGCGACTCCTTCTCCATCGTGCGTCTGAGCGCCGCCTGAGCCGCGTTGGTCATGGAGTCCGCCTCGTCCAGGATTATGATCTTGAACGGCGGACAAGGTTTCCCGCTGCGATTCAGAGAGGAAAAGCTTGCGTTCAGAAACACTCGACCGGCGCTAGCGCTGGGTATCGTTTCAATTTTAACCATTCTGCTTAGCGATTTCCTAATTTCGATTCCAATTATGAAAAATAAAAAATAATAATTCACATTTTGTGTGATTGCAAATATTTAACTGTAGCTGAATATCATGAACACAAATCAACAGGATAAAGAAGCCTGTGGTTTAAAAACACCATAGAAAAACAACTATCATTAATGTAGAACTATCATTTGTCCCATGTGAAGCGTCTTTGAGTGTCCAAAAAAGCGCTATACAAGTGTGATGTATTATTATTATTATTATTATTAGAACATTATTAAAGACAATAAACACTCAGTAATTAAAAATGATCAAATTACACATCTGTTCAACACTGAAAAAGGTCATATTAAAATTAGAGCCAGACCGATATATATCGGCAGACCGATATTATCAGCCGATATTAGGCATTTTCCAAGCTGTCGGTATCTGCAGTTATAATGGCCGATAAATGAATATTTCAAAAATAAAATAAAAACGGACGAAACACGCTTGAACCATGTCATGAGTGTTGGAGTTTTATAGTTTGTCCACCAGAGGGCGCTCTACACCGTTCCTGTTGGCAACACTCGTTGAGTTGGGCACGAGACATACATCGCTTGAATAACAATTAAAAGAACATCCGCATCAGTTCTCTAAACTCAAATAAGCAGGAGAAAATTTGTGACTATCATGTCCAGTTTAAAAAAATAAAAAAATAAAAAATAAATATCGGCCGATATATCGGATTTTAAAACCCCAAAATATTTGTATCGGTATCGGCCTTCAAAATCCTTTATCAGTCGGGCTCTAATTAAAATGCTCGCAAAGGAACCGATGAAAGAAATCGAAATCAATTCAATAACAAGTATCTGATTCCCCACCCTAATCGGTGGGAAATCGCTGCGTTTATTCGCGGCGTAACTCACTCAGTCCGCGAGCCGGCCACCGCCAGCTGGGCAAAGTTCTTCACCTTCTCTCGCACCACCTGGATGCCTCGTTCATCCGACGCGTTGAGCTCCAGGACCCTCTGTCGGTACAGCTCTGGCCTAAAGCACAACGCCAGGATATTAGCACACATGCGCGCGCGCGTCTGAATCTCAAAACGCATCAGTATCGTCATTCTGCAGAGCTTACCCATAAAGCTCTCTGGCCGCCGCGAGGATGGTTGATGTCTTTCCGGTTCCAGGCGGTCCATAGAACAGCAGGTTGGGCAGCTGAGAGAGCAGAGCACATCATCATTACGCTAATTGCTAGCTTTCCTGGAGATCAAACAGTAGAGCGTTGGCGCTTGCAACACCACAGTCATGGGTTCGATTCCCAGGGAAAGCAAGAACTGATAAGAATGTAAATGTGTACAATATAAATTGCTTTGGATAAAAGCATCTGCCAGACGCATAAATGTAATTTTAAGTACTTAAGAATAAACTAAATAAAAATTGGAAATGATCCATTGGCAACTAATCACGCTAACAAACCAAGTTAGCAGCAAAACACACCAAATAATGCTAGCAACATGCCAATTCATGCTAGCCAGGTAGTAAATCACACCAACATATTCGATATATGACGCTATATAAATAAAATTAAAGATGATTCGCCTCACGCACATCAGCGCCCTCTAGAGACTTCTTCAGTACTGCAACCACCTCCTCCTGGAAGGCCACTTCATCCACACACTTTGGTCTGCTAAAATAAAGAGATCAAAAACATGAACAGGTGAAATCTGAGGTCAACTATGAGGTCAACACACGCCGGGTCAAAAATGCATAATTGAATTTCAATTTCATTTTTTTAACGTTTACTTATATTATATCAATAACTGTCAGTCAGATCAGATGAATATTGAGCGTTTACGCAGATATGATGAAGACTCACTATTTCTCCACCCAGGGAAGAGCTCTCTGCTTCTTCTCTCCACCTGATGATGATGAAGATGATGAAGGTTTCTGAGCTTTAATACTCTGTGAGGAAGGTCCTTTCAAAAACGCCTGCATATCTCCACCTATAACCCGCACAACAGAACACACTACAGGAGGACAGATGATCTCAGCTGACACGACCGACGGAAGAGAATAAGCAGAATAAAAATCTCTTTATGGTTGAATAAATGTGAATGAAACACTTCGGGGAGTTTGTTGACACTCCGCGAACCGTCAGATTCCCGCCAGACGCGCACTGACGTCACTGGCGCGCGCCGCCGCTGCTCGTCACGTGATCACAGTCACATTGAAGTTTTTATTTATCTATTTATTTTTTATTTTATAATATTAATATCGTTAGTAATATTGCCACACAGCCAAGAATTTGTATTTCAAATAACTCAATGGTTTCTCAAGAAAGACGTCAAAGGTGGTAAAGATCATTATTGTATTCTGGGTAAATTTCAAGTAAACTCGCCTTAATTTGTTTGTTTTTAAAAAAAATGACGTACATCGTATAAAAAAACATGAAAAAAGCCAGACATTAAACTAATTTAGTAATGGAAGCCACAAAATCAAGCATAAATCCAAAACAATTGTAATTTCTAAAAAACAAAACAAAACGTAGGCCTGTAAAACTGTGAGCACGCACATAATTTTGTAATGTAAATATGTTTAATTGTATTATACGGTCTATATTTGTAAAATTGTCACATTTATTGTGTTGTATTTTCCTGGTGACGGAGTGATCTGCGTCTCTGCGCTCTGTTACTGTTGTCTGCGGCGCGTGCGTCATCCATCAAACCCCAGACATAAAGCACATTCAGTAACTAAAAATCGGTATCATAAAAAAGAAAATCAAGCTGTATATCCAAACCATTTCAAATTCTATTTCTATTTTAGTGATGTAAAAAAGTAAGCATGCACTTTTTGTTTATTAAGTATATTTAAAATGATGTATTATTATACTCGTTCAATTTTACATATGCTTATTATTTATTATTTTATACTTTCCGGGTGACGGCGGTGATCTGCGTCCCGGCGCTCTGCTAGTTTCGCCTGCGTCGCCGTGCGTCATTGCGTCATCACACACTCAGTGTTTTTGCTTCGTCTCTTTGAAACCGTGGAGAGAATCTTTCTTTTCTACCTTCAGTTTTTCCTCTCGGATTGGACTTTTACGCTTCATCGGATGCTCGTGTGTTTGTCGCTGCGCGTGTGGAGCGGCTGACGCGAAACGCGCCGAGAGCAGAGAGTTTTTGGAGGCGTTTTATTGCGCATGTTCATGAACCGCCCGAATGAACGCGGATCAATAAAACACTGAGATCTGATCAAAACACGCGCATCAGCATCAAAAACAGCGAGTGTGCTGAAACCAGATGCGTTCTGACTGGAGTCGCTGATCAGAGTGATCGATACCTCATCGATATCTGATCGATAACAGAGGAGCTCTGAGGAGATGCGCGCGCACTGATACACACACATCTGATCGATAACGCATGCCTGGCGGACTGTCTGGAGGATGAAATGGTCACATTAAGCAGGTGTGCTCTTCCTCCTCCTCCTCCTCTGGCTGGATGCTTTGAGCCGGTGTGTGAGATCAGGTGGATGTGACACACACACACACACACAGTCATGCAGGCTGCGCCCTTCCAGTATGATTTCTACAGCGAGGAGAACGCGCCTAAATGGAGAGGACTGTTGGTGCCGTCACTCAACAAGGTGAGACAGCTGTCAATCACACTTCATACATGACCGATGCTTTATCCAAAGGGACTTGAGTCAGATCACGTGTTCCTGGGAGTCGAACCCATGACCTTGTCGTTGCCAGTGCTTTGATCTTTACTGTTTGAGTTTATCATCGGCCGATACTGATAACAAACTCTTATCTGAGTGCCGATATAATGCCTGGAACACACATGAGAAAGAAACTTTATTATGACTGACAACTTTGAATTTATGACATAGATAAAACATCAATATTATGACCCAAAGAGTCGAAATAATGACATAAAAAGACATGATTATGATGCGATAGTCAAAATCATGACAGAAGTCATTTTTGAAAGATGAAACGTCAACATTAGGATCTAAAGAATAGAAATAATCACACATGATGCGATGGTTTACATTATGACATACTATGTCATATTTATAAGATAAAACGTTCATATTAAGACCTAAACAGAAGCAATAATTACATAAAAAGATATGATTAGAATGCAATAGTCAACATTATGGCATATATGAAGTCAGATTTAAGATGAAACGGCAATATTATGACCTAAAGAGTTAAAATAATGACATAAAGACATGATTATGATACTTATGACGTATTAAGTAATATTGGAAAGATAAAAAACATCATTATTAGACCCGAAGAGTAGACGAGGTGGAAAGTCAAATTTGAAGTCATAATTTTGACTTAATGGCATGATTTCTACTTTTCATTTCATTAGTATCTCATAATTAGATTTTTGTAAGTCCTAATTCTCATATAGGATGTTATAATTTTTCAAGAGTCTCTTGCCTATAGAATATGTTGTAATTTCTACCTTTAAGTCATGATTTCTTTTCATCTCATTGTGTCATAAATTAGTTGATCGAAGTGAGATTTGCTATATAGTGCTTTACATATGCAGATAATGTTAGACATGCTTATTATTCAACTTTATAGAGATCTGGACAATAATATAGTTAAATCTAGTGATGATGTAAACAATCAAGCAGCTAAGATTTGCATCATTACTTGAGTTCTTTATACGAAGAAAGTTGGATATACTTGCATATCAACTTTATCTATATATGACTGTGCGAGAATATACATATTATTTGTGATGATAAACACTTTTGTCTTCATTGATTGTGTATGTCGTGATTGATCTGGATGTATGCTGATAAACTTGGACGTACTTGTAGTTGCAGGTTGTTGGAGTTATTAATTTGACATGTGGTGATATTGAGAATTACGAGACCTTTGTTTGATTTATAATAATTCTAATTATTATTGGGTGATGTGCGCCATGACTGAATACACAATATTTCCTGAACATGTCTCATCGGTGGATGATAAATCAAGATAATGTAGGATTGTCTGAATGTGCAGATAGTTTGATTGAGCAGCAGGTGTTCAGGAGAAACACACACGGCTCAGAACTGAGATCTGTGATCGGCCAATCAGAATCCAGTGTGTCGGCTGTGTGCAGATCCAAAATGGCGTCCTGCTGGCTGCAGTTTCAGCGTCTGTGGAGGACGAGACGACACACACACACACACACACACACACTGTTGTGCTTGGCAGGTTTCTTGCTGCTTTCTGTGACATTGAATCCATAGCAACAGCAAATCTCCCGCTCTCGCTGGCCGGTCCTCCGTCTGTTCTGGATCAGACGCTCCTCTGCTCGCTATCTGGAACCGTCCCCGCGGATCTTACAAACCCGCGCGTTCACGTGCATCACATTTAGGCCATAAAAAGACTTAAATGATATAAGAAGAAAAGTCTTACATTTATAATTTGAAGAGGTCATAACTTTGGGAATGGAAAATCTGGAATCATGAAATCTGTCTATCTGTCTGTCTGTCTATCTATCTATCTATCTATTTATCTGTATATCTATCTATCTATCTATCTATCTATCTATCTATCTATCTATCTATCTATCTATCTATCTATCTATCTATCTATCTATCTATCTATCTATCTATCTATCTATCTGTATATCTATCTATCTATCTATCTATCTATCTATCTATCTATCTATCTATCTATCTATCTATCTATCTATCTATTTATCTGTATATCTATCTGTTTGTCTGTCTATCTATCTATATATCGATGTTGTCTGACGTTTATCTGTCTGTCTGTCTATCTATCTATCTGTATCTGTGCTGTCTGACTTTCATCTATCTATCTATCTATCTATCTGTCTGTCTGTCAGTCTATCTATATATCTATGCTGTCTGACGTTTATCTATCTGTCTGTCTGTTTGTTTGTCTGTCTGTCTATCTATATCTGTGCTGTCTGACTTTCATCTATCTATCTATCTATCTATCTATCTATCTATCTATCTATCTATCTATCTGTCTATCTGTCTGTCTGTCTGTCTGTATATCTGTGCTGTTTGACTTTAATCTGTCTGTCTGTATATATTTTCTCATATCGCAGCACAGATGCTTTAAAGAGGGCAGATTACGCTCTTTTCCAAAATCTTGATGTTGTTTTCAGGCTCTTCTAGAAGTCGAATGTTGATTATTCTCCATTGTTGCGGCTCCTCTCTTCCCAGTCTGTCAGTAACACTCTGTTTACTTCCTGTCTCTATGAAGCTCCTCCTCCTGAAAGCACACTCTGCTGATTGGTCGGCTGGATCAGTGTGTTGTGATTGGTCGAGCGCTACGAGTGTGTTTGGGAAATGTCCCGCCCCTTTCCATAACCGCCAGTTTAACACACTACTAACTAACTCAACCAGGCCCCGCCCCTTTATTCTGCGCATGAATTATTATAATGAGGAATATTGTGACGTGTTCCCGGGAGAAACTCGAGACTACAATGGAGGCGTTTCAGGAGTTCAGGAACACTAATATAGAAGAACATAAACACAGATGAACATGGGAAAAGCACATTTTAAGTGGCTGCATGAATTGTAAATGAGAACAGGCTGACTGTGTGTTGCTGTTTTCACAGACTGTTCTCACACACACACTGTCAGCATACTGTACTGTGCATTCCCACTAAATACCAGCACGCCATAGTGCCGCCACAGGAATGCTGGGAATGAAGCGTCAGGCATGTGATCCGAGTCTGAAGCGCATGGGAACAGAAAGCAAAAGGAAAACGTCCTGAGCTCTCGGCCCGTCACATGACCACGGTTTCAGACGCGCTAAAATCTGTGTATGTCTGAGAGAGAGAGTGTGTGTGTGTGTGTGTGTGTGAGAGAGAGAGTGTGAGGAAAATTGCCTTCAGATCGTTCTCTGTCTTGCGTCTTCATTAGCAGATCTAGTTATGGCTTGTGAACTGAGCCTGATAGTCAGTCTCTACAGGTGCAGATCAACACAGGATTGACCAATCAGGAGACAGAACTGGAGCCAGGTGCACTTTATAATGTCCTGATGTCTTCAGAGGGTGCGATCTCACGTGAATTTGTTAAAAAATAACACATAATAACCAGTCAGTTATTATCAGCCACATTTTAATAAGTGGTACTTTTATTTTTAGTTCTCCTTTAAATGCATGTATATTTGAATTATTAGTAATATTAATTTTAAATTATTTAAATGCTACATAATTGATTGAATTAACTTTTAATAGGTGATTGTTTATTTTAAAAAGTATTAGTTTTACATTTCTATGAGTTATAGTTTAGTATTTTTGTTTTGTGATTATTTTAAAATTACATATTTGTATCATTTAATTATAATGTATGTTTTTTTTTTTTTAGATTATTTTTATTTAAAAATTATTGACTTATTTTAATGCATGCATTGTATTTTTTTAAATTTATTTATTTTTTATTTATTAATTTAATATTTTTATGATGCACTTTTTTGATGAATCAGAGTAGTTTTATTGGTGGCGTTTCTTGCCCCAGTAACCCGACCATGTTTGTACTGGAGCGTCTGACGTCTGGATTCTGTACTGTGGTACAGCAGGGTAAAGTGTGTGTGTGTGTGTGTGTGTGTGTGAACGCAGGCCTGTACTAGCTGTGGTTTCTCAGAGTAAAATTCCAGTCATAACTGTGGAGAAGTGGAGCGTTGTGTGTCGCTACTGAACATGCGACGGCCCCATGAGCGCTGCTGGTTCTGCATGTCTACTGTACGCATCTGTCAGAGATGATTGATTGACAGCTGTCCATCACTGTGCTGTGGCTTAGTTGGAGTCGGTAGTTTGTGTTGAGGATTTCCCAGAATGTCACACAGAAACCCATTTACACACTGAGACTTCTCATGAGGAACTGAATGTGTGTGTGTGTGTGTCGTGAACGGTGTCTCAACAGGAAGATGTCCTCAGGCCAGCTTCTTTAGAATACCCACAATCCCTCACATGCTGTGTGTTTCTGGCAGCGCTTTTAAAAGCATCTCTTCTTGTGGGAGCTGACGAATCCCTCACACAGGAGACACTCGTTATTTTAGTATCATGCTATTATAGATTTATATATATATATATATATGAAAAATTCAGATGCAAAAGCATCTAAGTGCCATTTGAAATTCTCTTCTAGAATAATCATTTTTATCAAGCTTGTATATTTAAATTCAGTAATTTTGCCATTTAAGTGAAATTACTGAATTTAAATATACAAGCTTGATAAAAATTAACATTCTTGAAGAAAATTTTAAATGGCACTTAGATGCTTTTGCATCTGAACTCTTCATATATATATATATATATATTATTTTTATTTCGGTTAAGTGTTAAAGTCCCTCTGTAGTCAATCATTGTATCCCTTAACTCATCTTTGATCACCAAAATTACATTTAAATGTCTTTTCCTTGAAAAAAAATGTCTTGAATGTAACTCGACACCCTCGCCTCATTTAGTATTCACGATTCTATGAATATGCGAATGAGCCCCGCCTCCCCTCACTCACTCACTCACTCTGGTTGACGATCACACGTTGATCTGATTGGTTACAAGGTGGTTTGTGACGTCAGAAAGCGTGTTTTTGAGACCGTCTTTGGTTTTAAGGAGGAAATACTCAGTCCACTTATGAACCTACACATGGTTTAAGCGTATTAAAAACACCACATACACACATAAACTCCATTAAAGCTGGATGTTCACCATGTTGTTGTGTGTGTTTCAGGTGCTGAACCAGGTGCACCCGAAGCTGTCGTCCCAGCAGGAGGCGCTTCAGTACATCGAGGGCCTGATTCTGGTGCTGCTCAACACACTCTGTCAGGCGCAGCCGCGCACCGTTCAGGACGTCGAGGTGAACGCCGTCGCCATGGCAACCGCCGCCAAAACGCTAAAGGAATAGTTCACCCAAAAATGAAAATTAGCCCATGATTTACTCGCCCACAAGACAAACATGAAAAACATAGAGGCGTGTTGCTTCGAGACACTGAGCATCATGGGACTCGCTGTAACGTATCAATCGTTTATCGTGCGACTGGCTTTTTCATGTGTTTCAGACGTCGCGCAGACCTTCACTAACTTGTTTTTGTGTGTTTGGTCGTTGCTCACAGACGCCGGCTGTGAGATGGACAGGTGCTTCGGTTTGTGGTTAAGACCTCAACCACAGCGCATGCTAAACCGGTTAGCTGGTTTATCATGGTCGGGTCCCTCCGCTTGTTCCGATCTTAGATTTCATCATCTTCATCATAATCCCTCTCTCTCGCATCGTACCGTGTGAAAGACTCATGCTTCATCCCTCAGTCCTTTATCCTCTGACGCCCCACACATATAAACTGTGTTAGCTTGCTGTTTCTCCATCTCACATGTGACTGTGGCTGTTTAGGAGCGTGTGCAGAGGAGTTTCCCGCACCCGATCGAGAAATGGGCCATCGCGGACGCTCAGGCTGCGATAGAGAAGAGGAAGAGGAGGAACCCTTTAGCCCTGCCGGTGGATAAGATCCATCCGCTCCTGAAGGTAACTCAGCGGGAGTTTTAGTTACACTGTGCCTTTAAATAATTTATGCGCAGAATCATAGACATATACACTAGACGTCACCTTGGCTACGACAGTTCATTGGATCGAATGCGTCAATAGAGCCGCCATCTTGAAACAGGAGAGCCCCTCCACTTTAATGCATCAGCGTCAATGTAGTAGACACAGGTCTAACGCAAATAAAATCACCATAAATCATCATGAATGCGATTTTTCTTGTTTTTTTTTGGTTTGTTCCAACGGTCAGACATGTATTTATCATTGATTCCAGAAAGAATTTTTTTTTTAACATTCTTCCTAGTTCAGATTTCATTCGTGAACATCATACGCTCCACAAAAGTCCGCCACCATCAATGAATTCGAAGTAAAGGCAGAGATAGCAGCGTTACCTAGCTACTTCCTATGACAAGACCCCTGTTCCAAGATGGCGGCGGTTTTGACGCATGCTTAGAACCCCAAGGTGAGGTCTAGTGTGTATGTCTATGGCACAGAATAAAGGGGCGGGGCCTGGTTGTGCGTTGAGAAACCATAGACTGTAAAAAAAGCAGGAATCTTTGTGCTTTGCTACTATTGATATGAAAGTGTCTCAGATTACAAGTGACGTCCATTTTCTTATGAAATTCAAAAAATGGCGCTGTGGCGTGAGATCGCACATGATCCCGCTTTAATAATACCAGTTACAGCGCCAAATAAACATGAATGAGCGTCTTCGAACAATGAACAACATCATAATCCGTATCATGTGTTTTAACCGTAGAAAGACGTCAGTGAAACGTCACATTTACCTCAGAAAAACCGCATCCGGTGGCCATAAACTCACGATCAGCTGGAGAAATGAACTACTGTTCTCTTACTGTTATTAAAGTTTACTGCAGAGCAACTCTGTGAAATAAACAGTGATGGACATGTAGAAATTAAAGCTAAAGCTGCAATCTTCTCCGGAAAGGACCAAAAAAAGTCTGTTAAGAAGCTGTCGATCATGACGTCAGCTATGAAAACCTTTTCTCTATATTCTAATTTTGACTTTGGGGTTTTCATAAGCTGTAATCCATAATCATCACAATTATAACAAATAAAGGCTTGAAATATCTCACTTTGCATGTAATGAGTCTATATAATATATTAGTTTCACATTTTAAGTTGAATTACTGAACTTTTGCACCATATTCTGATTTTTCAGTTTCATCTTTATGTAAATAAACATAGAGTTGAGTTGTCCTGTAGATGGCGCTGTTACTCAACACAGTTCCTGTCAACATGGCCGAGTCACTAGTGTGTTTTACTGGCACCTGAAACTATCATTTATTCTCTTATATATATATGTATATAATATCTTACAGTGTTCAGCATAAGTGAACATCCATTTCTCTGATCATTTACTTTTTTAATTATTAAAGCAGAATACATTACAGTTAGACGAGACCATCAATACAAAACACATAAAACAGAAAGGATGTACGTGTAATTATGGGAAGTGTGTGTGTGTAAAATTGTGTTGAGTATGTGTATAACTCTATTATATGTTTTCTAATATACATGTAGAACAATTATCATTATATATACAATTTATATATATATAAAGCAATAATAAAAGATGTGATAAAAAAGGAATAAAAATAAATGATCAGAGAAATGGTGAGGTTGTTGAGAGAAAATGAAAGAAAAAATATCTATATATAAGTATACAGTGCTCAGCATAAGTGAACACACCCATGCTAAAGTTGACTAAAAAGAGGAATACAAAATCCTCTTTTTGGAAATTGATCTAAATGCCTTAATTAAAAAATATGGAAAAATCAGACCTTTAAGGACACCAATTTTCTTAGTGAGTGAATAATGTATCGTAAATGAATAAATGTTCTTCCTTCAGTTGCTGTTACTGTCAGGACTACTTTTTCCAGGCTTTTAGTGATTTTACTTGACGTATTTTCAGCTTTAATATTTACCGTTTTACAGCACAGCCTCTCGTTCCTTATGTCTTACGTATGATCCTCTTCAGTAATTGCTCTGCTCTGTTGTGTTCATGTGTCCATTAAGCGTGAGTGATTGAGCTGATCATGTGACCGTGGTCTCTCCTGCAGGAGGTTCTGGGGTATAAAATCGACCACCAGGTGTCCGTGTACATCGTGGCGGTGCTGGAGTACATCTCTGCCGACATACTGAAGCTGGCGGGGAACTACGTGCGAAACATCCGCCATTATGAGATCTCGCAGCAGGACATCACCGTGGCCATGTGTGCGGATAAGGTATGACATCATCGAACCAACTCGTTTCAAAACATCTCTGTCAAACGAAAATGAAAAATGTTGCATTCTCAATAAACAAAAATGACTACGATTATTAACTGGAAATGAACTAAAACTTAAAATAAAAATAAATAAAACCTCAATTGCAAAACTATTTATTTATTTTTTTAAATAAAATGATAAAAGCACATAACGAAATGACTCAAACATAACTAAAAAAAATTAACTAAAAACATACAAATAAAGGGTGATTCAAAAATGTTAATAACACTGGGCCTAAAAAAAATATCACCAATTTGTCTTATTAAAAAAGTGTATAAAATGAAATCAATAATTATAATAAATATTTTAAATATGATAAAAACAAATGCTGTGCATGTTGGCAGGGCAGCAAATTTGTGATAATATATCAGTATAACTATAAAATAATAATTAGTAGTAGGTGTAGTATTATTACTAAATAAAAGCATGAGACATTTTACTATAATATATTTTAGTTTACTGTGAAATATAACAATAGAAAACTAATATAATAAATAATTGAAGAGTTCAGATGCAAAAGCCTCTAAGTGCCATTTGAAATTTTCTTCTAAAATGATGATTTTTATCAAGCTTGTATATTTAAGTTCAGTGATTTCACTTAAATGGCAATGAAGATTACCTATTAATTGTCATTTAAGTGAAATCACTGAACTTAAATATACAAGCTTGATAAAAATGGTCGTTTTAGAAGAAAATTTCAAATGGCATTTAGAGGCTTTTGCATCTGAACTCTTCAATTTTGTTTTACATTAAAACTGTAAAAATTACAATACTTATATTTAATATCATTTTAAATTACATCTGTAAAATTACTATACTACATAATAAATATTACATATATAAATAATTATTGAATTCTTTATGAATATATACATGTGTATAAAATTACATTTTTCCATTTTTAATAATAAATGTAAAATTTTAAAACCCATATTTAATTTCTATCCAAAAAAAAAAAATCAAGAAATTAAATGTTTCAATATATATGCTTGTGTGAAAATAAACAGTGATTCGCTCTGAATTAAATCGCATAAATATGTCACATATCAGCGTTTTGGTTTTATTTTTTGTATTATTAACCGTGCCGCTTTAATTGAACACATCAAACGTCAACGTTCAAGCAAATAATCTCCGCCCAGCACTTGCTCAAGCTCCGCCCCTGTTGCTCCGGTTGCAGGTGCTGATGGACATGTTCCATCAGGTGGAGGAGGACATCAGTGTGTTCCCTCTGATGGACGAAGAGCCGTCGGCGTCGGAGGAGCAGATGTACTATGACCTGGTGAAGGCCTTCATGGCCGAGGTACGGCAGTATCTGAGGGACCTCAACCTCATCATCAAGGTCTTCCGCGAACCCTTCAACTCCAACAACATGCTGTTCTCCTCTCACGTGAGTCTTCCTCTTCATCCTCACTCAGATGGGATTCACTCGTGTGTCTCTGCCTGTATATAAAGTGCAAGAATAATGAGCTATATGAAATTCATCCGGACATTTCAAACAGAATCGTAAGCTCTCTTAAAGCTAGATGTGATCACTGAGGTCGTACAGGTCACACACGTTTGCCTAAAGATGAAGACCCAACTCTATGCATGCGTAGTAAGATTCCCTCTCTGTTAAACCTGTTATTGGACTGTCCTGGGTTTGAGACAAGTAGAATGCTCTTTAATGAAGTTATTTCACTTAACTGTCACCGTCTCGGTACCGGGACGCCTAACTTTACTTCACTATATTTCTATTAAATCCTAATCTAATTATGACAAATTATATATCATTGGAAAGGTCTAAGACTTCTAAATAGATATTCTACCCCTGTTTTGTGTTAAAAATTATGTAGGAAGAGTAATTGATGAATTTATGACAAGAGTGCACCTCAAAAAATCTGTGTTTTTTTTGTCACAAAAAGTCCCTGCACCCACTTTTAATCATTGAAACTTCTGTTTTGATGCTAAAAATTCATAATAAAACATACGTATAATCTAGTATTTTTCAATAAAAAAAAATTATAGTATAATATTATCCTCTAAAAATGATAATATTTATATTTATTATCCTCTAAAATATAATATTATTTTTTATCGCTTTTTTATTATATCACATATTTTAGTAGTTATCATAACTTGGGTATCATTTGAAAGCGAATAAACTCAGAATTCATCGTGTGAAAACTGTTTTATAATTGAACGTTGCGTTACCATAGAAACGGTACTTATTTTATCAAGCTCCTCCCCTTTTGGCCATCATTATATTTCATAATTTATGATCAAAACCTTTTCTAATCTTGACAAAACTGATATTGTCAGAAAGGTCAGAGTCTCAAGGGTCTCACAGAATTGATATTTGGACAGAAATGTATTAATTAATTAAGGCAGAATGTATGCAACTAAATTCAATGGCACCCGGTGGTTATTTTTGGTACTACGCCTAAACAATATCTCATGGGAACTTCAATTTTTGTGATATCAACTTCAAATTTGGAGCATAATTTGATAAGATTTATGGCTTTGATTTTATAGAAATTTTAGAGTAAAAAATATTTTGTAAAATATTCAAATAAAATATATATAGTACAGTATTTTGATTTATTGTCAATTTAAACTTCCATAACTTTTTTATACTTTCATTTTTTGAAGTGTTTTCACTTCAGCAATATTCTGCTGAGTGTTTTCTTTAAAACAAGACCAAACTTGGGTATATATTCCAAAGCATTCTTAAATTACAACCATTTAAGTTTGAATAGTGCATTTTAACCCCCATTCTCAAAAAGGGGGGTGACAGCTAAGGGGTTAAGGACTTATTTAGTAAAATTATCCCGGGAAAATTGTGTTTGTTTGCTTGGTTTATTGTATTTATGTGATATTTGTATTTCTGTAATAAAATTTTTGCCATGAAAATAGATACTGACATGGCATTAAATCTCTCTCTCTCTCTCTCTCTCTCTCTGCCTGTAGGATGTGGAGAACATCTTCAGTCGTATCGTGGACATCCATGAGGTGACGGTGAAGCTGCTCGGGTTAATCGAGGATACGGTGGAGATGACCGATGAGACGAGCCCTCATCCGCTGGTCGGCTACTGTTTCGAAGACCTTGCTGAGGTGAGATACACACACACACACACACACACACACACTATAATTCATTTAGAATAATTTGTTCATTATAAATTATTCTAAATGAATAACTTATTTATAATTAATTTAGATATTTTATTTTGCAATGCTTTAATTAATAATAAATTATTGAATTTGTATTTAGAAATAATATTTTATATAATTTTTTACATAAATGTAATTAATAATGATAATAATTTAATGAATTATTTCTTAAATAATACTACTTAAAATAATATAAAAATTATTTAATGTAACTACTGTATAGTATAATTATATATAATGTAAGTATGTATATATATACGTGTGTGTGCGTGTGTGTGTATATATATATATATATATATTAATTTCTACAACTTAACAAATAGTTAATTAAGTTTAATAATAACAACAGTAATGTAATTAATAGTCATATTAATAATAATACTATATTTTAATATTTTGTAAATCAATAAAACTAGTAATAACTAATAATTTAATTAAAAAAATAATATTATAAATATATTTTTTTCAATTTAATTAACAATAGTAAGTTTAATTTGTTTATTCATGTATTTCAAAAAAATGTAAAGTAACTTTTATGTCAGATTTGATAACTGAAGTGTAGCACATGTTGTGTTTTGTGAGAACGGCACCGATACGATCCTCCCAGAACACACTGACGTCCGTTCCACCTCCACACTTCACAGCGACTGACCCCGCGGCCTTTCAAACACACACACACGCTTGTTTTTCCTCGTGCCGTAACAATACAGGTCACGGCGGGCTGCGCTGGGGGTCATGTATTAACTCTCGGGTGTTGGCCATTTTCAGGAGCTGGCCTTCGACCCCTACGAGACGTACGCACAGGACATCCTTCGCACCGGCTTCCACGAACACTTCCTCAGTCAGCTTTACAAACCCGGAGCCGCCATTTACCTGCAGGTCAGGAGCACACACAACACTGCACAGGCTTTAGTTTAGATCAGTGTCCACAAGCAGGGATGTAAAAAACGAGCGTTTAAGGACACAAAAGTGGATGGAGGCAATTGAGACAGAGCCCAACGTGTCGTATAACCCTCAGTTGGGGGGCTTAAGCACATAAAAATTCATCTAAAAGGGCCAAATTTTGCCACAGATGCAGCTCAGGTCATGCCGAAATGATTTAGCTAGGGTGCCGGTGCCAAGATGGCGGCCAAATCCAATATGGCCGCTGCCCGAAAAGTGTTCCGGTTATAACTTTTGAACCACATGAGTTACAAATACCAAGTTGATATGTTTTTCAGCTTAATTGATTATGGGAAATAAATAAATGTTTATATTTTTGACCCAGTATATCCGCACCCCTTGATCCTCCAGAAAAGCAGTTTGGGCTGTAGTATGGGGCCTTACGCCCCATTGTTATAAACATTCCTGTGTGCTGAAAAACATATCGGTATGACCTGAGCTACATCTGTGCCAAATTTGCCGCTTTTAGATGAATTTTCACAAACATGTTCTTAACCCTTGTGCATCAATTAAAAAAAAGTTACACACAGGTAAAAAGAGGACAAAAATGTCCATGTCATAAAAATGTGACGCTTCGGAGCACAGACTTAAGTTTGGTATCATTTTAAAGACGACCCTTTGCAGATTGTTGCTGAAGTAAAAAAAATAATAATAAGTAAATCCCAAAAAAAAGTTATATAGGTATACGTTTATGAAAATTATTTATAAAAGAAATATTTTATATAAAATATATATTTTATAAATCAGGTTGAACTCAAAACTGCAATAAAATCAAAGCCATAAATCTAAATAGGTTGTGTTCCAAATTTGAGGATGATATCTCAAAAAATGAGCTTTCGGTAACAGTTTGTTTGGGCGTAGTGACATATTTCGCCCATTGGGTGGCAGCAAAACCCCACTGGAGCTCACAGCGATTGGATTTGTTATTTGCAGTTTTTCTCTCTTAGTATTACAGAAAATTACAGAAAACCAGAAAATAGGAATAAAGCGATATTTGTTTTATAAAAAATGACACCATCTGATAAACAATAGTAAAAAATAAAATGTTGAAGCCTTGCCATCAGAATGAAAGCCTCTTAACAAAGATTGCATAATTTTATAGTTAACTGCACCGGGGATTAAAGATGGCAGTTTTAATGGGTTTCAATGGGGACGTTTTTGTCCAAAAGGTGCTGAGAGGGAGTGTTTTTTGTACCTAATGCAAAAAATATTTTTTTTAAGAAAATGACGGTGAAATAGTAAAATTCCAATAAGAATACACACCTGTGCCAAGTTTTTTTGCAGTTAGCTTTAACACAGGCAAAGTGATCAAAAAAATAAAACTGAAAAGGACAAAAATGTCCATAAGGATGCACAAGGGTTAAAAGGCCCCCAACAGAGAACTACCGTTACGCCCACTGGAGGCGACAGCGTAGCCTAGTTTACAGAAATATAATATATAAAACTGACATTTGGATATTTGATATGGAAGTTTTTTCCTAACATAATTCAAATGAAAATTAAAATGCTAAAAAAAATCAAATAATAAATCAAACTCTCAAAACAACTGCTCAAATGATAAATCAAATGTTCAAATTTATTATTTTAGTTTGATTTATTATTTGATTTTTTTTTTAGCATTTTAATTTTCATTTGAATTATGTTAGGAAAAAACTTTCATAATTTGAAGTTACCAGTGACTAAATGTTTACTGCACATGTAGTGCATACTGAGTGTGTCAGGATCATGACCTCTATCCACTTTTGTGTCCTTAAACGCTTGTGTTTGGGGTCGACAGCTTATAAACACGTATTTGTGTGTTTTTTAGGTTGTTTGCTGTCACATCGCAGCTTTTAGACATTTAGTTTTTTAAGTCAGAAATAACAGTGACTTCACCCAATACAAACTCAATGGAGACCGTTGGATCGCCCCCCCCCCCCGGTGGGCGTGGCCTTCAGATTATGATGCGTGTCGCTCTGTCTCTATATGAATTTGTTTTGGGGTTTTTTTTTTACTCTTTTTTTTCATTCTTTTTTATTTTTTAATTTAGTCTCTTATTCATTTATGTTAAACTAATTTTGGAAAATCTTGGATTGTTGTCTATTTGGATGTCAAGTTATTGTTTGTATGTTTGTATAATATCTAATAAAAAAAATGTCTTTGTGTTTTCAGTCGATCTGCGAAGGGTTCAAAGAAGCGGTACAGTATGTTTTACCGCGGTTACTCCTGACGCCCGTCTACCACTGCCTTCATTACTTTGAGATTTTAAAGGTGAGTGTCATTTCCCACAATGCACCATTTACTGATTTCTGCATTACTTTTTAACCAAATGGGAGTGCAAAAATAATTCCAAAAAGTCTCTAAACGTATGGAAGCCCACAGAGGACATAGGAAAAAATAGCTAAAGCCTCGTTCTTTTGGAGGTTCTTTACGATACACTCGATTTAAAGAAACTATTTTAGAATTTTTCACTTTCAAACTGTATTCTTAAATGCAGGCTTTCCTCGTGAGTTGATGAAAAGATAATAGTTAAATAAAAATATGTTTTTAAGTAAAAATTAGAGCTGCACTGATGGTATTATTGTCCAATAATGCCGATTATACAGGTGAAACTGGAAAAATTAGACGTCATAATTAGGTTATTGTGGGATGTGGACACACGTTGACACAACATATGCTCATCCTAAAATATCGGATCCGCTGCTCCTCGTTAGAGCCCGCCACAATCTCATGAAAGTGTGTATCTATAGCTAACGACTTTTGGTTTTCTTCTTATGGGCCTCTTAGTGAGTTCACGTCAGAACGAAGGCTCACTGTTGGCCAGCATCGCACACATGACCAGCGTCGGCCAATAGCGAGCCTGCGTTCTGACGTGAACTCACGAATAGTTGAATTAAGTTTCAATTACAACAGAAGCCTATGGAGGAGTGATCCAGCTCTCAGATTTAAGCAGGAATATCTTCATTTGAAGGAAAGTCTGACGGGGTTGAACAACATGTTTGGGTGAACTATCCCTTTAAGAAAAATCAAACTATCGGTATCGGCGGATATCAATCAGTGCATCTCTGTCAAAATCAGTTATTAAAGTGAATATGTTCTCCCGAAGGGGTTTGTCGCTGTTGTGATATGGATGATTGTGTTTTATTGTATTGTTGAGCACATTCATGCTCTATATTTGCGTGGGTCGGATCAGTAGTTCTCTCCAGAGTCACACGGATGTGAACATGTGCCTTCAGAGAGCTTTACCGCCAGCGTTCCCAGCGTTCCCTAAGCGGCTTTCCCGGATTCTTACGGGGGATTTATGGAGCAGAAATGAGCAAATCTCTGGCTGTACACGACACACAAACCTCTCTTTCATTCTGCAGCGGCTGAAATGAGAAATGTCTGTTTGCACGCATGACCTGATGAGATGAACGCAGTGTTGTCGATCATCACACACACACTTCCTTACTGACCACACAGATGTTTGAAGTTATTTCAAGTGTATATTTAAGCTAATTTTGTTTTTTGTTTTTTTAAATGATTTATCAATGTGTAATTCGCATGTTTTTTTTTAACATGATTTATTTACTTTAATTTTACATATTTAACTGCTTTTAATGTTTTATTTTGTTTGGTAAATTTTACTTGCAGTTTTATCATTTAATATGTTTTTAGGAAGTGCTTTATTTTGATTTTTCGTATTTTAAAAATATTTATTGTAATTTTAGTCAGTTTTATTTTGATTTGGTTTTTATTTATTTTTAATTTTACATTATAATTTATTATTATTTTATTTTTATTTGCTTTTATTTTACTATTCTTTTGAATGGTTCCATTCATTTTAATTTGTTTTCATTCTAAAATCTAATTATTTTAATTTGACATTTTATTATTATTATTATTATTTATTTTTTTAGTTTATTTAATGAGTCTCTAGTTAATTGTTTATTTTTATTTGCATTTATTATTATTTATTTATTTTTAATTGTACCTTTTAATATAATATATAATAATTTTTTTTTTTAAATAATTCATCAGTGTGTAATTCGCATGTTTTTTTTTAACATGATTTATTTACTTTAATTTTACATATTTAACTGCTTTTAATGTTTTATTTTGTTTGGTAAATTTTACTTGCAGTTTTATCATTTAATATGTTTTTAGGAAGTGCTTTATTTTGATTGTTCGTATTTAAAAATATTTATTGTAATTTTAGTCAGTTTTATTTATTTTTAATTTTACATTATAATTTATTATTATTTTATTTGCTTTTATTTTACTATTCTTTTGAATGGTTACATTCATTTTAATTTGTTTTCATTCTAAAATCTAATTATTTTAATTTGACATTTTATTATTATTATTATTATTATTTATTTTTTTAGTTTATTTAATGAGTCTCTAGTTAATTGTTTATTTTTATTTGCATTTATTATTATTTATTTATTTTTAATTGTACCTTTTAATATAATATATAATAATTTAATTGGACTTTTTGATGATTTAATTAATTATTGGTGTTCCATTAATTCACAAACCCCACTTTTTGAGATACACTGTCTTAAAGCATCATTAAAATAGTCAAATTGATGTACACACGCGACCCTTGAACCCATGCAGCCGTCTCACTGTGTGTCGCTGTGTGTCCTCGACAGCAACTGGAGGAGAAGAGTGAGGATGAGGAGGATAAAGAGTGTTTGAAACAGGCCATCACAGCCTTACTGAACCTGCAGAGCAGCATGGAGCGCATCTGTTCCAAGAGCCTCGCCAAGAGACGCCTCAGGTACACACACACACACACACACACAGACTGATACACACAGTAACACATTCTCACGCACATATACATACACACTTACACACTTGCACTCACACACTTAGACTGTCACCCACACTAACACACTCTCACGCACATATACACTCACACACATACTTACACACAACCACATAGACGCACTCAATCACTCATGCACACACACACACACACACACACGGTTACACGGACACACACTCACAGACAAACACACACTCTGACTCTCACACACATATTCGGAGACAAACACACACTCTCTCTCATACACACACAAACTCACAGACACACATACTCTCTCTCTCACACACACACTCACAGACAAACACACACACACTCTGACTCTCACACACATATTCGGAGACAAACACACACTCTCTTTCTCACACACACACAGACACAGAAACACACACACACTCACAGACAAACACACACTCTCTCATACACACACAAACTCACAGACACACACACTCTCTCTCTCTCACACACACACTCAGACAAACACACACTCTGACTCTCACACACATATTCGGAGACAAACACACACTCTCTCATACACACATAAACTCACACAAACACACACTCTCACTCTCACACACATATTCGCAGACAAACACACACTCTCTCTCTCATACACACACAAACTCACAGACACACTCTTACACACACACACACACACAAACTCACACAGACACACTCTTACACACACACACACACACACACACACAAACTCACAGACAAACACTCTCTCACTCACACACACACACACACACTCTCTCTCTCTCTCTCTCTCCCTCACTCACACACACTGGTCTCCACCCATCAGCCCCTTGTGTGTTTCCCTCTGACCCTGAAATAGCCAGTGATTGTGACGAGGGAGTGTGTGTGTGTGTGTGTGTGTGTGTGTGTGTGTGTGTGTGTGTGTGTGTGTGTGTGTGTGTGTGTGTGTTGCGTCAGGGTTTGGGCGGCTCTGCTATTGTTGTTCTCAGTGAGAGAGAGAGAGAGAGAGAATGAGGAGGAAAGCGGCCCTTCATCTGCTGAAGGACTCTGGGATCATGAAGATCTGACGTGTTGGTGTCCCGTCGAGCGCGTGTGTGTGTGTGTTTTAGCGGTTTTATGCGTTGGCGTATGTGGAAGGGATGGCTGCTCTTACGGTACGTGTGTTTTTGGAGAGTTGCTGTTCACTTCTGTCGCTTCAGCTAGAACAAAGAAACGATCGACTACATCGTGATTGAGCTTCAGTCGCCATCATCATCATCATCATCATCATCTGAGATGTTTCATGTTGTTGGAAAGTTGGGTAACTCGTTACAGTAAGGCTTCATTAGTAACATGAACTAACAGTTAAAAAACTTCCAAAGCATTAATTAATCTTAGTTATTGTTAATCTCAACATTTACTAATGCGTTATTGAAATCAAATGTTGTTTCTGTTAATATTATTTAATGCACCTGAGCTAACCGTTGTACTAGCGCTAACGCAGATTAATAAATACTGTAATTGTTCGTTAACTAATGGGACCTTAATGTTGAATGTTACTAAAGTTTATATTAATTAAGCTGAGTTGTACAGTAAGGTCCTGTGAGTTAATGTTAAGTTTTATTAGTCTTGATGTTCGTTTATGTTAGCTCAGGTTCATTCAATAACGGTTTATTTCAGTAATGTATTAGTCAATTAACATTAAGATTAATCAATGCTTTAGAATTATTTTCCATTGTTAGTTCATGGTAACTAACGCTAACAAATGAAACCGAAGACTCGTCGAGTGATTTCAGTGTAAACAAGCTCTTCCTTTTACAGACTTTAAAACTGAAGACTTTAAGTCTGAATGTGTGTGTGTGTGTGTGTGTGTGGATGGACAATAATTATAAAGATATGGTTCTAAAAATCACTCTAAATGTAAAACAATAGCAGAGTCGGCATCACAACTATAGAGATGTCGTTGGAATCTCACGATAGAGCTGATGAACGATAAAAACACCGACAGCCAATAAGAATCCATCCTGATTCAAGCATTTAAAGGTGCAGTAAGCAATTTCTGAGAAACTGTTGATATTTGAAATCACCAAAACAAGCACGCCCCAACCCGACAGGACCACACCCCTAACTTTATAGCCCTGCCCCAAATTCGCAAACACGCTATGCAACGCAGGCTCCTCCCCCATCATAGTGGACACGCCCCTTACTGCTGATTGGCTGTGAGCGTGTTTTGGTGCTCGGAAATCACTTACTGCACCTTTAAATGCTCAACTTTATAAAGCAGGATGGATTCTGATTGGCTGTCAGTGTTCTTATCTGTTTTTTTTATCGTTTTATGATTTCTGAGAAACTTTGTTGATATTTGATTATTAATTTTTGAAATCACCAAAACAAACACGGCCCTAGCCAACAAGACCACACCCCTGACTTTATAGCCCGCCCCAAATTCACAAACACTCTATGCACGGGCTCCTCCCCCCTAATGAGTGGACACGCCCCTTACTGCTGATTGGCTGTGAGCGTGTTTTGGTGCACGGTCTAGCGTTTCTCAGAAATCACTTACTGCACCTTTAAATGCTCAACCTTTATAAAGCAGGATGGATTCTGATTGGCTGTAAGTGTTTTTATCTGTTTTTTTATGATTTCTGAGAAACTTTGTTGATATTTGAAATCACCAAAACAAACACGGCCCTAGCCAACAAGACCACACCCCTGACTTTATAGCCCCGCCCCAAATTCACAAACACGCTATGCACAGGCTCCTAATGAGTGGACACGCCCCTTACTGCTGATTGGCTGTAAGTGTGTTTTGTTGCTTGGTCTGTTCCACTCCCAGAGTTTCTGAGAAATTGCTTACTGCGTCTTTAAATTAGAATAAGCTGTCATCCTCAGGTGTGGACGCTGATGTAGTTATGATTATTGTTCTTGGTGTGAACAGGCCGTAATAGTGCAGTCAGTGTCGCTCGTCCGCAGTGTGTGGCACTCTTCAGTGAGAGAGAGAGAGTCTGCCGTCTCAACGCTCCTTCATCTGCGCTGACGTGACGCGCGTGTGCTCGCGTCTTCACAAAAACATTCAGAAGTAAGATGCTCTTCACTCTATAGAGAGTCTCTGTCTTCAACTCATTCACTCCCTCCATCCTGTGATTCGTAACACCCCAAAATCTGAAAATCAGACGTCTTCTGGTAGAACAGTGTAGAAGTGTGTCTCTTTCAGGTCCTGGAGGGCTGTTCATCTTAAAGAGAACCTGTTATTACTATTCAAAGTGTTGATGTTGTTTTCAGGCTCTTCTAGAACTTGAATGTTGATTATTTTCCTCAATGTTGTGACTCTTCTCTTCCCAGTCTGTCAGTAACGCTCTGTTTACTTCCTGTCTTGATGAAGCCCCTCCTTCTGAAAAGCACACTGTTCTCTGATTGGTCGGCTGGAGCAGTGTGTTGTGATTGGTCGAGCACTTCGAGTGTGTTTGGGAAATTCCATAACCGGCAGTTTAACACGCTACTAACTAACTCAACCAGGCCCCGCCCCTTTATTCTGCGCATTAATTATTATAATGAGGAATATTGTGACGTGTTCGTTCTCGGAAGAAATTGACGCTCAGAACTTCCTCTGGAAGCTGATTGGACATTTAAATCTTGTTATTTAGATGTTGATGGTCACGACTGAACCTTGGTGTCGTGTAGAGCTGATTTATTTCCCTTCCCTATTGTTTACGTCAGCTTTAGTGTGATATTTTCATTACGTTCTCCTTATTTAAGGATCAATACTTTCACGAATTGTTTTGATTTGATTCACAAACTCTTGATGCTGATTGATTGATTTTAAAAAATCTCTCTGAACCCCGTCGGTCGGTCGTATACGTTACTATAATATTAATGTATTCAAACATTCTTTCAATAATAAAGAGCAGGTTAAGTAACATATTATTAATATATAATACAATGCTCCTCTCTAGAGTTATTTTCTTGCTAACTATCAAGTTTGTGGGAGTTTCTTGCTGTTTTACTCTGATTGATTTCTGTATCTCTCAACATACCTTCTAATGTTCATTAATGTTTTTGCTATTCAGTCCCTCCAGAAAAATGCGATTATGCGATCGCTGAATTCAATGCAAAATCAGCCAAAGTCCGCATATTTATGCGGGGCCGCATTTTTTCAAATACGCCGCACTTTCGCCGCATAAATTGCCGATTTCCGTGCAAAATATGCGGGGTTTGCATAATTTCATAATCCTCGCTGCAAAAAAAGTTTCGTTGCAAAAAAGTCACATGTATCTTAGCAGAAAGTTGAAAAATGTTGCGTTTGCTTCACACAAGAGCAGCCATTTCCCCCTGTTTCCATGGGAACGTTATGAAGTGACGCAATTACGCGACGCCGGACAGACTCACGGAGGCGATTGACATCTCACAAATCGAACTCGTATAACTGTCTGTCACACGTTCTACTGTCACATCGTTACTTAATAAACAACATAATATAAAAGAAGTGTAGCATCAAACAGAAATTACCCGCACACATGGGGTGTTCGAGGCGCACATATAACACTGCAGAGAGTTCAACAGGGAGCGCGCAGCTCTTAAAGGGGCCACGCCTTATTTACACTCATTACAGTCTGAAATAAAACAAGATGAGAAATTAAATATTCCCAGCACTTTCTATGATGTAGTATGCTTGCTTATCAAAGGAAGTAATAAGAAATGACTCTTACATTAGCCTGGTGAGAACAGGATGTTGGGGGAATCATTTTTTCTCTTTCTCTTTTTCATCAAACCGCAATTTTTGCAAGTTCCCTCAATTTTTGCAAATTCCTGCAATTTCATTGCATAA